TGGAAAATGGAGGAGAAGGAAGCACTGCTTTCATGTGAACATGCAGATATAGAAAGGAGGGGAAAGATCCACAGAAGGGAACGCTGTTATGGATGCTAGAGAGTAGTGAGAAGCCCTATTTTGAACTCGATCCCAAACTATAGCTGCATTAAAGAAATTGGGCAAAAGACTTTTTTGTTACTGAAATATCCTGGTAGCGCTGACAAGAGCTGCCAGAAAAGGTGTTAAAAAGATCACGGGCAAATCAAGAAATCCAGATAGGATTAATTTGGAAAGAGATCTTTTTCTGACCAAATACCCGAGACGTCACATGTTATTTCCTGTAATGCGCAAATAACTACAGGACGAGTCATTCCTGTAGCTGGGGAGACTGTGCAGGGTGGCAGAGCGCCTTTGAGCTTGAGAAGCCGGTGCCCACTCGCAGCTGCTGGGCAGGGCTGCAACCGCGGGTGTCAGGAGCGGCCAATAGCTCCGCTTGGTCACGCAGGGCAGGGGCACGCATGCCAATGGGTGAGCTGCACGGCGTTCTGACAGGTGGAGGTAAAGAAGTTATTTGAAAGTTTTCTTACTGGAGAAATACATTTCCCTCCTTTGCCGTCAACGTAAAAATTGACTTCTGCAAAACAAATGCAACATTTAAAAAGTTGTTTAGAAGTTTTTTAAAAAGTTAGTTCTTTTCACAAAAATATTAAAATTCAGTGAATCCCTGTTCTGGGATATATACAGATAAAAAAGTAAAAATTCCTATGCTGCTAATTTTTTATTCAAGACATAATATATTTATTCTTCTTCTGTTACTAGACAATTCTAAGGCCCTGATTATATTCTTGGCATTCTTGATCATTGTGACTTCAATTGCTTTACTTCTGGTTCTGTATAAAATCTATGATCTTCACAAAAAAAAGCTCAGGTAAGCTTCATGTTTCTCTCCCTGTTTTATAAAAGTGCAGATTTTTTTTCTCAACATTGCTTCACAAAATGTTACAAGTTTAATATTTCATTACTATTTGGAACAGACATCTTTTCATTTTAACAAATAAAAGAAACTCAAAATCATTTTTGGTGGTTCGTCTGGCAATGCAAAGACAATGAAATAGAGTTAGAATCTCTTTGGTATATTCTTCTTCCAGGTGCAGAAGAATCGATGAGTTAGAACAACATGCTTTTTCATTTTTTTTGTGAAAAAATAGTCACAAGGACCTGGAAAACCTTTTGTTCATGTTATAAGTTAAAATAATGAAAATAATAAACACTTTCTTGGAATGTTTTCAAATGCTGATTTACCTGAAACAATGTCTCAAAACTGTTTATTATAGTCATCTCCAGGTGACTTGACAGTAACCCAAAACAGTGGACTGGGACAGAAAAATGGCTATTACCTTCTTGACTGTGCCATAGCCTTGGAAAGCCAGGCTGACTGCTGCTACTGCTGTAAAGGCGGGTGTTACAATGTGGGAGGGGGCATTTAACCGCTATAGAGAAAGAGGAGTTAAGGCAACTTGTTCACTAACCTCTCAGCCTTCTGGCAATAGCAGAAGTGGCCAAACTTGTCCCTTCTAGACACCTCCCTCAGAGCCCTTTCTCTCCTCCCTTCTCTTCCTCTCGTAGAGGGCAGGGAGCTGGTCTTGCTCAGGCCTCCAACTTTTATGTTGAGGGCAACAAAAGTAATTTTTGCTTACACTGCTCTAGAGAGTCTGGCTTGTTCTTTGTTATTTATTCTTTAAATTAAATTCATTATATCTCTTGTGTCTGCAAATTTTCCGTCACTTGTTAAGAAAGAGAAACAAAGACCGTGTGAGCAGTCACCCGGTCGTTAGCAAGAAACTGAAGACGTGCTTGATGCAGGTGATTGATAGTGACAAAATCATGCAGCTAGTAAAGCTGTTTTATGAGGGTCCCTTGTTTCTCTCCCTCACTCATGCTAAGCCCCTGTAGGAAGACAGGGATCCCAAAGACCTCTGCCAAGTGACTCATTGTAGGAGTCCTGTTTCACAAAGAGCTTGCAATGTGGTCTGATGATTACTGAACAGTCTTTGTGGTCATATATGAAGCTGCATTCATTTAACTCATTATCATATCCATTTCTGACTAGTCAAAGCTTTTACAGATGCTTTTGCTTCTTACAGCAATTCTTCTGAAGATGTGAGCCTTGTTAGAGGTGAGTTTTTTTAATCTATATATCTAGCAAGTGTAAGTAAAGATTAGTCACATGTCCTATTGCCACTTTTGGATGGTTTACATTCTAGGTAGTTGTACATAGATTACAGATATCAACATAAACCTCATTTGGAGAAAAACATACATCAGTAAATACATTCCATAGGTATTAATATAAAAATGAACTGAAATATTATCAGAGTATTTGGAAAACTCTTATTATCTTACCATGAAAACAATTTTGTTATCCCAGACAATGGTCATGGTAAGTTTAACCCTGAGAGTATCTCTAGAATCTCATATGGCTTCAACCACAATGTCTGCTTTCTGTACACCTTCTTCAGAGCAAGAATTCAGACGCAAGCCAATAGTTTATCACTGCAAAATTTTGAATTCATTTTTTTAATTCAAAATTTTGATTTTTGATTTTTTTTTTTCAAATCCCAAAGACCGCAACCTAGCATTATGTACAGCTTTTTGTACAGGATTTCAATGCCTATGAAGAAAGACAGAATCAGCCAATACTGGAAAGCTTCAAGAAAAAAACATTTATGGCATTCAAGCCCACAACAATTAATTAAATGGGAAATAATACCATGTTGATATTCCTATCCATTCGCTTAGACATCTATAATTGAAAAAAAATGGATTTATAATATAATTATGGATGTTACAACTTGTTCAATCATTGCGTTATCATTAAATATGATATTGCAGATTATTAAAACTCAGAGAATACGTTGGAGAAAATTTGGAAAAGTGGGCAAGACTTCTTATTATATTTCAAGAGAAATGTTAGTAGGTTGTTTGTACAGTAATACATTTTGCCACTGCCAATAAACAGTCAAGCAGATTTGAAGCATACCGCAGAACCATGTAACTATTGTGCGTTTGGGCTGTCTGTTGCTGTGACCCAAATATGACAGCTGCCACTTTGTACAAAAGCTCTGTTGATGCAAAGTCCCGGCATGTGGCCTCTTGCTGATGTGCGCCCAGTTCCATAACAGAGCTGATGAAGCTGTTATTCCCAAGGCCTGTTTGTTCACAGAAGGCTCGGGGGGGCAGCATTTTTTGAAAAATAAACATGGTTTAGTTCAACTCTTGTCCTTTTGTTAACTCATATGACAATTAGAGGAACACATTTACTGAAATGTAATTTATGTTTTAAAAGCCAGTAAAGATAAACATTCAACATCTTTACACAGTTAAAGATGATGAAAGGCAACTTCTGAACATAGAGCCAATACCTTCAGAACAGTTATTGGAGACATACAAGAGGAAGATTGCTGATGAAGGAAGACTCTTCTTGGATGAATTTCAGGTTTGTCATTGGCTCAGAACATACCACAGATTTGTAGCTAAGTGTTCAGAGGAATTCTGTTCAAGAGCATGTCTAAAGTATATGCAGTTAATATATATATATGTATGTATATATTTTTGTGTGTGTGCATATATATGTATACACATATATAAAATCTGAAAATTATAAGTGAATTCTCATCTAAGGTCAAATATGGCTTAATTTTGTCGCTGAATCCTCCATTTTTTAGATGCCTTTTTTTTCTGAAGGTGGTTTTCAGCAAAAGTATAAAAGGTACAGTCTAAATTCTTCTTATTCAAAAGCATTTTTGAGGCACGTTTTGCAGAGTATTACTACATAGCCATGGGGATAAAAATAATAAATAACCACAAGTAATGGAAAATGGATTTCATATTTATTTTAGATGACATATCAGAAATATATGAAATAGTATGATATGAAAAAGAATGTTATCTTCCAGACTATTATTAGCACCAAATTACTTTAATTTGCATTTGTTTGTAAGTAGAAGCTATTTTAAATATATATGCTTTCCTAATAATAGAAACCCTGTATTTTACAGAGTATTCCTAGAATTTTCACTAAGTTTTCAATAAAGGAGGCCAAAAAAAGCCATAATCAGAACAAAAATCGTTACATTGATATTCTCCCGTGTGAGTATTTGTCACAATTTCTTCATGGTCTATTAATATTTGTTCTCACTTACATCAGTGCCTTGAGACAATATAATTATTTTGTTTTAAATGATTTAAACAGATGACCATAATCGTGTGGAACTCTCAGAGATAACAGGAGACCCAGGATCAGATTATATCAATGCAAGTTATATTGATGTGAGTGACTTCTGTTCATAAAATGTCACAGATACTATTGAAAAACATCTGTAGTCCGTACATACCGAACACCTTTGATGATTTCCATTTGAGTTCTTTCCATCTTTGTAAAGTATTTGATATTATTGGACTTTTGCCTGTTGAACTCATTTCTAAACTTGCAAATCTTTTCAGATAGTCCATGCTTTCTTTTTAAAAGCTGAGTAACATTGTATGTTTTTATAGGGTTTCAAAGAACCGAGAAAATACATTGCTGCACAAGGTAATTTTTAACCGTAAAAGAATTCCCTTTCTTTTTTCACCCACTTTTTGTTAGAAAGTAGCCCAATAGAATTAATAAATTTAAAGAAAAATTGACAGACTGACATTTTGAAATTTAATATCAAAAAGCTGTCAATGAGTTTTAGCTTAGGGCATTTTTGTGAAGATGAACAAATTGCGCTTCACAGGCAGATTTGTCATGATGGATGGTTTCACACCAACAGTTTTTACATTTCACAGCTACACATTAAAAATATATGTATGATTGTAGGCTAATGACAGCAGTCATAACAAAATCAAGTCTGTGGTTGTTATTTGCAAGACCTCTGTTAGCTTTTCAGTCTATATGGCTAAGTATGTCAACAAGGTTTGGGCTTTTCTGTCTAACTGCACTTTTTGGAAAAAATCCCTTAAAATATCTCTTGCTAGGCCCCAAGGATGAAACCACAGATGATTTCTGGAGAATGATCTGGGAACAGAAGGCAACAATTATTGTCATGGTGACTCGCTGTGAGGAAGGAAACAGGGTGAGAAATATCCATCCGTCTATCCATCCATTCTTCTTTTATCTGAAAATAAAATGGGTTGCTGTGCTGTGGTGAATTACATTTCCTACTTAAGTACTTTGTTTTTATTCTTTCCTATTCTCTATTTGTGGCAGAACCTATGTTGGAAAGCATGCCAAAATGGTTTTGCCTTATGGGCATTTTACTTATCAGTCTTATCAGCAATGTCACTTTAATCACAGCTCTAAGGAGCAGAGGGTGAGCTTCCAAATTACTAGTGATAAATCCAGAAAATGGTTAAAAACATTGCAGATTCTCAGATTAGAACTCTAGCTCCTCGCTGTATAGCATTCTTTCCCACCTTATGCTCTAAGTAAATTCCATGGGGAAAAGCTTCAGGTTAGAGACCAGAACTGTTGGATATTTAGAATTATTAGGCAGTGATAGCCTAAGAGGTAACAGCCTTTTCAAGAGAGGACAGGGCTTATGAGAAGCTGGAAAACTGTAATGAGTTACTCATTATATTAAATTAGACTTTCCTCTAGCTTTCACTCCTCTGCCACTTTGCTGTCATGCTGCTCACCAGCTAATTTCGTGTTTTCATAGAACAAATGTGCCCAGTACTGGCCGTCAATGGAGAATGGCTCTGCAACATATGGGGACATTATTGTGAAGATCAATGAAAGTAAAGTGTGTCCAGACTATATCATTCAGAAACTACATATTACAAATGTAAGTTGACTTAGGAATATAGGAATGGCTTGAATTGGAATGGATGTTTAGAGTCTTAACAGTTGTGTTGAGTGATTATTTAAAGCGTGAAAGGATTCTGCTAGCACTGGAGGATGTTGTACTGTTTTTCCCGAAGCGACATACAGTTTAAGAGAAAACTTGTAGGTGAAAGGATTGTTAAGAACCCATAGTGGCATCCCCATGCTCTGGCTCCAGTGAGACATTTTGGTTTTGGTCTGTGTTACACTCTAAATCAGAAGTGGTTTCAAATTAAGCATACACTGAGAGAGTATGGTCAGCCAGCAACTCCAGTTTCCTGACTGCAGAATTCCAGTCAACCAGTGTAGGCTGCACTTTTATTCTTCTTTGTATTTTCTTTGGTATAAATCTCCTTGTTGCATGTTCTCGTCAAAATATGAGAATGGAAACAGTCTGAATGGACTGCTGGTTTATTTTCAACCATTATCAATGGAAAAAAAAATGCCATTGATATGTCTTTCTCATTTTGTTTTACAATCTTGCTTACCAAAATGTACGTTCTCTCCTTGAATCTATACAACAGCACGTGAAACTAGGACGCAAGGCTAGATGTGCCGTAAGCCTTAACTGGGTGACTTAAAAAAGCGAGTCACTCTCTGTGATAAACATAGGCTTTCCTGTATCTGCTTCTATTCTAGGTTACAATTAATTTTTTTTAATTTTTTTTTTAATCTGTGGTAGCCTTAGCAGACTATTCCCAGCACAGATGAGAGAATTACCAACCAGTATGCCTGGAAGCACGTAGGGCTAGTTGGCCAAGTTATTTACAAACAGAGTGGGGAGACTTACTATATTTTGTCATAGGCTAGCCTTGACAGTAAAGTGTTTGTAGCAATACTTTGAACCTCTTGTTGTCCTCTGCTCAAGTTGTGTGTCCCTGATGCACAGCTCTTGACTCCTATTTATTAATTAAAATTAGGTAAGAAAAATGTCTTAACCTGAGAGACTGTTGGGAGCACTGTATGACAATATATACTCTTTGAAATTTCCATTACAACATTTGGTGGCTGTTTTCCTTATTTTTCTTCTGCTTTGTATATCTACACTTGATCTTGGTATTGTATAAAGAAACACATCTCACTTTTCCTAGGGAAGGGAAAGAACACCTGGAAGAGATGTCACTCACATTCAATTCACAAGCTGGCCAGACCATGGAGTCCCTGAGGATTCACATCTTCTTCTCAAACTCCGGCGCAGAGTTAATGCTCTCAGCAACTTTTTTAGTGGCCCAATAGTGGTTCATTGCAGGTAAATATTAAAATTAAAATGAAATTATGTTAAATGTTAAATGAAAATTAAGTTATTTAGAAAAAAGGGAGCTGGCAAAGAGCAGAAATATTTGGCCGATCCCAAATTTTGTGATTTGCTAACTTGAGAGCGAGGCCACTAAAGATGCATAAAAAAGCCTGTTTTCTGCGGGATCAGATCCCATTCACGTTGACTGAAACTGAGGATACACAGACTTTTGGAAAGCAGCCAGATAAATGCCAGGCTACTCTGGCTATAAGCACCATGTTTTAAAATATTGTCCTTGTTTTCATTAAAAGTTATTTAAAATACAAATCCATCATTTTTTGTATTGCTGAGTACTTTATAACAAGAACTGTTTTCAGTTGTTTCATTTCCAGTCGTTCCAAGTGTTTTCACTTTCACTCTCTCACTCACTGCTCCTCTTTGGGAATGGTACCGAGCAGTACTACTACCTCTCGATAACCATATCCCTCTTTGCTTTCCAGTGCTGGTGTTGGGCGCACTGGAACATATATTGGAATTGATGCAATGCTGGAGGGGCTCGATACCGAAGGCAGAGTGGATGTTTATGGCTATGTTGTGAAGCTGCGTCGACAGCGATGCCTCATGGTTCAAGTAGAGGTATCTCACTACAATCCATTTCAGTTAAAACTCAATTTCATTAGTGCTTCGTCAGTATTTCCTGAGAAAAAGTGCTCTTGTCAGTCTTGGGGGATGCTAAAGTTCAGCTGAAGCTGTTTAGAGAAAATACAGTTCTGAAAAGATATTAAGAGAGAGAAAAACTTCCAACAAAGTTTTTCAGCTTTAGAAACTTCAACATTTTAAACTCAGACTTTAGAAAAAGAAGGTAAAAGCATTTTAGATTCGGTAGTCCAGCTTTAGGCATGCAACTCAGATGCAAAGGGGCAAAGTTGAACTTGCACAGTCAAACAATTTTCATATTGTAAATGTTGTGTGGGATTTTCAGTTGAGTTGAGAATACAGTAAAAGTCATGGACTGATGAAATGTATGCTTTTAACTTATTTAGGCATCTTAAAGATCTTTCAGATCTTAATTACATATTTCTTAAACAACATTACATTTATCTGCAGAACACCTTTCAGCCAACATACCCCGTTTGCTTCAAAATGTTTAATTAATAGGAAGCCACTATGATTTTTAATATTTGTATTTAATGCCACTTTAATGTTAAATATTATTGCCACTAATATCATCATGTGAGTAATAACTTCTTACAATGGTTTTAAAAAGTGGTATTTTTTTTCTTTTTGCTCACTAATAATAACTTCACTTTTAAACTGTTAAAATGGGAAACACCAGTCACAATACATCCTCATCCATCAAGCACTGGTGGAATATAATCAGTATGGAGAAACCGAGGTCGCTCTCTCAGAACTGCATGCCTGCCTTACAAATCTGAAAAGGAAAGATCCTCCGAGTGATCCTTCTTTGCTGGAGGCAGAATTTCAGGTAAATATAACAGTGCATTAGCTCTTCACTGGCTTAAATTAGAAATTGCCTTGCACAGTAGTCACGAGGAAGAGACACCATACATAACGCATCACTTCTGTGCTAATTTATTTCTCTAGCACAGATGGAATTTCTTCACCTTCATGAAGAAACCTGTAAAGTAATGAAATTGCATTTCTGCTTTTGATATTAATATTTTTCATAAAGTTTAGGGGAACAGAATGATTACTTGTGTCTATGTGCATGATTTCTTGTGGCACTATATATGGTACAGTGAGCATTTTTAAACTGTAGTCCAGATGTGACCAAAGTTTATAGAATTAAAATAAGAAGTGAGGCACTGGGCAATGAAGACAGGTTACGGCTGTCCAGAGGGGACCATGATCCCATGAACCATTTTTATCAAGCATAATCCCAAACATCCTATTTCTTTAGAGGTTGCCCTTCTATAAGGGATGGCGGACACAGAACACTGGGAATCGAGAGGAGAACAAAAGCAAAAACAGGAATGCCAACACAATTCCATGTGAGTATTTTCCATGAACCTTTCTGTTATTTTCTCTGTTATCTTGAAAGAAAACCTATTAAATTTTGAATAAATTAAGACAGCAGATTACCTTATTGAGATACATTTCTGATTTGTTCATTCTCTCAACATTGTAAAACTAGAAACTTATAATGTTTTAAAAAAGAAAATAAGATTAACATATGAATTCTTAAGAGTGTTTAATTTTATTTCCAATGAAGTGGACTTTGCTCAGCAGCCTTTTGTTGACGGACTGACTTTTTCCTATCAGCAGTTTCCATCACTAGCAGAAAACTGCTCTGTCTTTGGTGAAAATAAAGAACTAGAACTTAGTGACACTGTCACTAAGAAAAACTTTGTTCACTATATGGATACAGTGCACCCCAAAATGCCTGTGGTTCACTTGGGCATTGTGTTAGGAGAAGAGAGGAGGCCTGGTGAGTGGGAACCTGGAGGAGACTTTCTCAACTCCACGAACTTCTCCCAGGTTGGCTTTTGACATTACCCAATGTGGAGGAGCCCTCAGCCCTCACCTAGCAGATCCTCATGCCTTTGGTGTTCTCCCAGTAAGGATACTGCTGCCTGAGACTTGGTCTTGGCATGTGTTGCAAGAGTTTTGCAGAATCAGTCCTCAGTTCCCTGACTCCCTTCTCTTGATGAGAGAATAAAAAAAGGCTGAATATCTGGTAGCATGACTCCAGTGCACAAACTGATGCAATCCAGGGTGAATGGACAAAATAGATTGCCTTTCCTCTGCTCCCTGAGCAAAGCAACTAAACTGCAAGGAAACCCAGACCACTATGTGTGTGGCCATATTCACCCAGTAATAAAAACAGCACTTGGGATTCCCTTGAGAAGGCAGGAGGGTAATGACACAAGGAGGGGACAGCCACCCTCAAACGCTATACCTGACCAGCAGTGCTGCATCGTGGTGACACTTTGTCTTATGCAGATGACTTTAATCGAGTGCCAATCAGGCATGAAGAGGAACAAAGTAAGGAGAGCGAACATGACTCAGATGATTCCTCAGATGGGGACAGCGATTGTGAGGATTCAAGCAGATACATCAATGCTTCCTTCATAACTGTACGTATTTAGAGGATGCACTGTAAGTATCTCACAAGCTTGCAACTAAAACTTGCTGATAACTATATGCCAGCCTGTGCCTTTATTCTCTTCTATTCTGTTGCTGGCTTCACAAGTAGAATCGCGTTAACCTGGATAGGGAAGGACGATCTGACATTTGACTGTCAAACCCCTTTATAGTTTTAATCATCAAAATCTTCAAAATTTTGGTGCAGGAGTAAGGTGGAGCTTTTTCCCTTACATAGTCATAGACTATGCAATCTCAAAAAGTGATAACAAACACAGAAAAGTGTTTTTTTGTTTCTTATATTTAAAATCACTGAATTTCAGCTGGCCTTGGAGTAGCCTATTTTTCTATGAGAGGGTATTTGCCTATGTACAAATTGATCCATATTAATATTTTCACTGCGAGTTAGACATGAGTATAGTGATTTGCATGTATAGAACTGTACTAGTGAAAACTGAGACCAGGAGTTTTTTGGTATAATATTTACTTCTAGAAGAAGGAGAGCAGCTACTGCCCCTAATGAAGATAATTGCTTATGAAATTATCAGATAAATTATAGTTATCGAAATTCTTTAAAATGAAGCAGGATTAGGATGTCTGTTCAGAGTAAATGTATTTTTACTTTTGGGTGGTTCAGTGTGAACTGACTGGCTCATCAACTCTGTTGTATGGGATAAACTTAATTTGTTAGCAGACCAGTAACAGCTGTGCAGAATTAAATCCTTGCTTTAACCCTTAAAAACATGATCTGTATGTAATGGTAGGCTGAGGTCTCACCCACTGCAGCATGGGTATGTCCTGGTGTCATTCTAGAGTAATGTTTTTTAGGAGGATTCAGTTTAATGTTGTTTGACTCTTATTGTTCCTGCAAGATCATTGCCTGCTATGACAGGCATGTTTTTCTCTATAAACAAGACAGATTATTAGTTTATTTCACTAGATAGTCTTTACATGACAATGACTTCTATTACAGGAAAATAGCATTTTGGATGAATTTAAGGAAAAAAAAAATTTAAATTTCTTTTGTAGGGCTATTGGGGTCCAAAAGCCATGATTGCAACTCAAGGACCACTGCAGGAAACGGTTGCTGACTTCTGGCAAATGGTCTTCCAAAGAAAAGTCAAAGTCATTGTTATGCTGACAGAGCTGAAAGAAGGAGATCAGGTGAGGAAGGCATCGTCTTCATGCTGACACCTTAAGGGTCCTCTGTGTGCAAAGAAAACACTCAACTGCACTCTTTTATTCTTATTAAAGTCTTTTATCTAAAAAGGAATTTTCTAATATAATTTGTTCTATTATTTACCTTCTTAATTTACCTTCTACTGAATCTCTGAGGAAAAGAGTTGCTTGATGAGGTATTTTTGAATACAGTGAAACTCCCACTACTTTAAGTGAATGCGTTCTGTAAGTGCATGCAGAAAGTAATATAAAAGCAGATTTGAAGAGCACTGACTTTTATGTATTTTAGGAACTCTGTGCGCAATACTGGGGAGAAGGAAAAGAAACATATGATGGCATAGAAGTACAAATGACAGATGTTAACAGTTGCCCTAGCTATACCATACGTGCATTTGATGTTACACATCTGAAGGTAAAAGTTTTTTTTGAAAATTACAAAAAGAAATTTTACATTTCTAAGAAACTTAGCCCAGACTAAAGAAAGATAAGGGATAGTTCCCACCGCACTTACCTCCTGCTCTAAGAAATTGAAGTATTTTTTTGTTTCAGACCAGCAGCTAATCATGATATATGGTATAAGTTAACTTAGATTTCCAGTTTAGTGATTTACTGAAATGGTGGTAGAGGACTCTAAGGAGGTGAGCTCTCTTTTGTACTTTGAGCAAAGCTTCGATGTCTACCGATCTCATGTTCACAGAAAGGCAGAATTTACATCACTGTGTAGTTCCTCAAGAATATAAGTTTTATTTTGTAAATCACCTACAATAGATGTACTATGTGAATCTTTGCTGTTAGTCTGAACATTGATTACGTCTCCACTGCTGTTTTGCAGAGGAAAGAAACACAGAAGGTGTATCAGTATCAGTACCACAAGTGGAGTGGCTTGGATATTCCTGAAAACCCCAAAGACTTAGTCAACATGATTCTAAACCTTAAACAAAAAGTTCCAACCAGATCAGGCTCCAACGACAACAGAGGCAACCGCAGTGTCCCAATTGTCGTCCACTGTCGGTGGGTATGCGTTCAGTGCATGTGCTAACCTAGTTCTAAGTTCTAAATATATTTAGCAACTGCATTTTGGTAATTCCTGCCTTTTCCCAAAAGCCTTTGTATGTGCCTGTAGACTCAGCTCTCCCTATAAAATTTCTTGAACGGATCAAAATTGACCTTTTTGATTGCAGTACTGAAAAGTGAGCCCACTTCTCTTTGGCAAGAGTGGGAGTGCAGTAGGACATCAGAGCTAGTTGCTCTTGCCTAGTACATGTATTGTGAGAAGAAATGCCAGGTCAGAGCGCTTTGTAGCGTACTTCTAATAAGGATCTGGCAGAGCTTTTATCTCATCTCTCACTCCAGTGCAGAAATCTACTTTTTTAGGACCATGTTTCCAGGCACAGCCATGCATACCATCTAAAATGGAATAATCTTGGCTAACAGTGCTAAGACCATAAAACTAAAGTTTCTAATTTCTCTCTTCCCCCTTAAATGGTCACATGAGATCCAGGTAGAATTTACATAAAGTAGCTATGCCTTGTTTGCACCCTGCAGATACTTTTAGTTGTAACAATTTCAGTCCAGTTAAAAATGTTTTGGGAATAGAATTCATTATACAATCTTTGAAATAAATCTAACACTTAGTCACACATCTTGCTAATTTTTACATTTTAAAAATATGTATCTTCTAGTGATGGATCCCAGCAAACTGGTGTATTTTGTGCTTTAATGACCCTCTTGGAAAGTGCAGAAGTAGAAGAAGTAATAGATGTTTTCCAAGTAGTAAAAGCTCTTCGTCGCACCAGGCCGGGAGTGGTCTCCACCTTTGTAAGTAAATCTTACGAATTACAAGGACAAGCTAAGAGATTACTTAGCACAGTCGGGAATATC